CTCCCAAAGTGCTGGGATTACAGGCTTGAGCCACCGCGCCCGGCCAACACTTCATTTCTTAACAAATAAAAGGGCCAGGTGCGGTGGCTCATGCCTATAATCTCAGAACTTTGGGAGGCCAAGGAGTGCAAATGGCTTGAGGCCAGGAGTTTAAGACTGGCCTGGACAACATGGTGAAACTCCATCTCTACAAAAACACAAAAATTAGCCAGGCAAGGTGCTGCCGGCCTGTAGTCCCAGTTACTTGGGAGGCTGAGGTCGGAGGATCACTTGAGCCCAGTAGGTCGAGGTTGCAGTGAGCTGAGATTGTGCCACTGCATTCCAGCCTGAGCAACAGGGTGATACCCATCTCAAAAAATAATAATGAATAAAATACAACTTATTTTATTATTATTTTTGAGCCTGTTGGCCAGGCTAGAGTGCGATCTCAGCTCACTACAACCTCCGCCTCCCGGGTTCAAGCGACTCTCCTGCCTCCGCCTCCCGAGTAGCTGGGATTACAGGCATGCACTGCCACGCTCAGCTAATTTTTGTATCTTTGGTAGAGACGGGATTTTGCCATGTTGGTCAGGCTGGTCTCAAACTCCTGACCTCAGGTGATCCACCTGCCTCAACCTCCCAAAGTGCTGGGATTACAGGCGTGAGCCACTGTGCCTGACCGAACATATTTTATTAGAGTGAAACTTGCATTTCCTTTTCTAGCCTCTGTACAAGGAAAAACCATTGCTCTTCCTATTTCCTCAATCTTTCCCCTTTACCACCTGATAAAAGTTTACTTTATAAAGCACGACAGCAAAGCTACCTCTTCCATAACACTTTCCTCTAGCTCTCGGCCCAAAGTAAATTTCCCAGTCTCTGAACTCCAAAATGAAGTTGTTAATGCGTTGTATAGAGTATACATTCCATCTCACATTACGGATAGTTGCTGTGCAAGATTAGAAGTTCCTTAGAGAAACTATTTCTTATTCACTACAACCACAGAAGGCTTCTGTCCTCACCATTCATACTACAAACCCCTATGGGTCTAGCTCCTGCCCGAAACATAACTGGATGGTATGGGTGCCATATTGCCTTACTAAACTGTGATATTTTGGGGAAGTGTGTGATTCACGCCCTATAAGTCCAACATTTTCGTTTATCTATCTTTTGAGACCGAGTCACTCTGCCGCCCAGTCTGGAGTGCAGTGGCGCCATCTCAGCTCACTGCAACCTCCGTCTCTTAGGTTCAAGCAATTCTCCTGCCTCAGCCTCCAGAGTAGCTGGGATTACAGGCACACGCCACCTCACCCATCTAATTTTTGTGTTTTAAAGACAGGGTTTTGCCGGGTTTCCCAGGCTGGTTTCGAACTCCTGGGCTCAAGCGACCCACCCACCTTGGTGTCCCAAAGTGCTGGGATTACAGGCCTGAGACACCACGCCCGGCCTGTAATCCCAACACTTTGGGAGGCCAAGGTAGGAGGATCGCCTGAGCCCAGGAGTTCAAGACCAGCCTGGCAAAATAACAATACTCCATCTCTACAAAAAATAAAAAAAATCAGTTGAGCATGGTGGCATGCACCTGTCTTCCCGACTACCAGGAGGCTGAGATGGGAGGATCGCTTCAGCCCAGGAGTCCAGGAGGTTGAGGTAGCAATGAGCCCTGATGGCACCACTGCACTCCAGCCTGGGTGACAGAGAAAGACCTCATCTCTAAATAAATAAATAAATGACCTAGCTCACCTTTCCCATGTCCCTCAGCATCTTGCTTTCAAATTTTAGCTATGTTTTTTACAGATCTTTTAACAAAAATGCTGCTTTAATTAACGTTAACTTACATGGTATATAACTGGGTCCTTGTTCTCAAGGGGTTTACAAAGCCCTAGAGTCATATGTGCCTTATTATCAATACAAAAATAAATGGTGTCAGCCGGGTGGGGTGGCTGTCTGTAATCCCAGCACTTTAAGAGGCCGAGGCAGGTGGATCACTGGAGGCCAGGAGTTCGAGACCAGCCTGGCCAATATGGTGAAACTACGTCTCTACTAAAAATACAAAAACTAGCTAGGTGTGGTGGTGCATGCCTGTGATCCCAGCTACTTGGGAGGCTGGGGTATCAGAATTGTCTGAACGCGGGAGGTGGAGGTTGTAGTAAGCTGAGATCGTGCCATTGCACTCCAGCCTGGGCGACAGAGCGACTGTCTCAAAACAAACAAACAAAAATGGTGTCAAGGCCGGGCGCGGTGGCTCAAGCCTGTAATCCCAGCACTTTGGGAGGCCGAGGCGGGTGGATCACGAGGTCAAGAGATCGAGACCATCCTGGTCAACATGGTGAAACCCCGTCTCTACTACAAATACAAAAATTCAGCTGGGCATGGTGGCGTGTGCCTGTAATCCCAGCTCCTCAGGAGGCTGAGGCAGGAGAATTGCCTGAACCCAGGAGGCGGAGGTTGCGGTGAGCCGAGATCGCGCCATTGCACTCCAGCCTGGGTAACAAGAGCGAAACTCCGTCTCAAAAAAAAAAAAAAAAATGGTGTCAAGACTCTCAAGCAAGTTGCTAATGGAGTAAGACCTATATGTAAATAGCGCCAAAGACTATGAAACAGATGGGTGAGGCAAGCAGAGACGCAGGAATAGTTTAGCTGCAGCAGTTTTTGCTTAGTTCACTTATGTAAATGGTTCTTTAGGGCAGTCCATGGATCATCCTCATTTCCAAATGAGACTCCGAGTAGAGAGCTGGGGATATGCAAAATAACTACAAGTCCCCAACCTATGCCCTCTTAAGCATCCCTGTCATTTAAGAGAGTCGTTCCCATCCATCAACTTCCCCGTCTTCTTCCTTCAGCCCCTGGGTTAGTCAGTGGCTGAAATTTTGGTTTGGTAAAAAAAACCTCCGGCGAAAAACAGCAACTGGAGCTCGCGAATCAGGTCTCACGGAGGTAGCCACGAAAAGGCACGAGGCGCGCACGAGAGAGCTCGAGCCCTGGAGCCCAGGCGCTCGGAGCCGCCGTTACGTAACCGGCCGCCAGCGCCTCGGAAGACCGGAAGGCCCAGCTCCGGCCCCGGCCCCGCCCCGCGCCGGCCGCCAGTAAGTGCCGTGCGCAACCGTCCGGAAGCTGCCAGCCCTTTCCCCTTTTATGGGAGGACTTTTTAAAAAACGTAAGAGTTCACTGACGCCACCGCGTAAGACTGGTCCTAAAACCGTGATCAAGGAGCTCCTGGCCACTTCTCACTTCCGCTTCCTTCCAGTAAGGAGTCGGGGTCTTCCCCAGTTTCTCAGCCAGGCGGCGGCGGCGGCGGCGGCGGCGGCGACTGGCGATGTTTGGCCTCCAAAGAAACGCGGTAATCGGACTCAACCTCTACTGTGGGGGGGCCGGCTTGGGGGCTGGCAGCGGCGGCGCCACCCCTCCGGGAGGGCGGCTTTTGGCCACGGAGAAGGAGGCCTCGGCCCAGCGAGAGGTAGGGGGAGGGGAGGCCGGCGCGGTGATTGGCGGAAGCGTCGGCGCTAGCCCCCCGGCCGCCCTCACGCCTGACGCCCGGAGGGTCGTGCGGCCGCCGCCCATTGGCGCCGAGGTCCCCGACGTCACCGCGACCCCCTCGAGGCTGCTGTTCTTCGCGCCCACCCGCCGCGCGGCGCCGCTTGAGGAGATGGAAGCCCCGGCCGCCGACGCCATCATGTCTCCCGAAGAAGAGCTGGACGGGTACGAGCCAGAGCCTCTCGGGAAGCGGCCGGCTGTCCTGCCCCTGCTGGAGTTGGTCGGGGAGCCTGGTAATGGCTCCAGTACGGACGGGTCACTACCCTCGACGCCGCCGCCAGCAGAGGAGGAGGAGGACGAGTTGTACCGGCAGTCGCTGGAGATTATCTCTCGGTACCTTCGGGAGCAGGCGACCGGCGCCAAGGACACAAAGCCAATGGGCAGGTCCGGGGCCGCCAGCAGGAAGGCTCTGGAGACCTTACGACGGGTGGGGGACGGCGTGCAGCGCAACCACGAGACGGCCTTCCAAGGTAAGGGGGCTCGTAGTCGCCAAGCCTCACTCCCCTCTTCCCCATCGCTCCCCGGACAAACGAGTCGGGGTTGAAACGTGTCTGATCCTATTCCCGAAACCAGAATGTTCTGGCCATGAGTCATTGTTTCCGCCCATCTAGATTCTTTTGGAAATGGCAGCTCTCGTTCAAAGACCGGAAAGGGTGGGATGTCAATTTCAAGTGGGGTCGACCTGAGTTCTCTCAATCCCTGTAGTGACTTTCCCCGCCGTGGGTGGGCGGCCGAATCGTGCGCGGGGCTTAGACAAAGGAGGCCAGGAGGACCTGCATGCTTTTCTTCCCCAGGCATGCTTCGGAAACTGGACATCAAAAACGAAGACGATGTCAAATCTTTGTCTCGAGTGATGGTCCATGTTTTCAGCGACGGCGTAACAAACTGGGGTAGGATTGTGACTCTCATTTATTTTGGTGCCTTTGTGGCCAAACACTTGAAGACCATAAACCAAGAAAGCTGCATTGAACCATTAGCAGAAAGTATCACAGACGTTCTCGTAAGGACAAAACGGGACTGGCTAGTTAAACAAAGAGGCTGGGTAAGTTTGCCTTAAGGGTTGAAGGGGGCCTTGGAGTGGAAGTAGAATGAAGGATTTTTTTGAGAGAGAGGTGGGGATGTCTGAAGGTTTTTATGACGCACGGCTGATCGCAGGCTCTAACTAAAGGACCACTAGTTATTTGATGTTTATTTACGTAATAGATCCTTAGAGGTAGTGGTTTGGCGGTCTTGAATTGTATCAAAAATCTTGGTTTTTCTCTAGTCTATTTTTGTTCCAATTCAGTTGAATTCAGCCGATTCAAACCGTGGAGAAATAAGTCACCAGGGGAGCATAGCTGAAATACATTCCTAAGGCGCTCTCTATTTTAATTGAGAAGATATGGAGCCTGCGTTGTAAGCAGAAACCCAGATCTGATGTAGGATGTACGTTGAGAAAAACTAGTCTGCGCAGTTGAGGTGTTACTGAGATACTAGGTGGTGGAGATTTGAGAGTAAGGTCTTTCGTCTTTTACTTCATTGGAACTCTGGAAGTCCCTTTGTTTAGATAAATCCTAATATGACCAAGAGAGTACTGTAAAATCAAGTTTAACCATTATGGGTGCCCACTTAAGATTAACTGAAGAACTTAGAAATGCCCTTTTTTTTTTTTTTTTTGCCTCAGGGGTGAATAATTGATTTAGGATTGTTTTACGGGGAAGCCTTAGGTAACTTCAGTTCACCTTTTCTCTGGATAGTAGTGTTAAGAGAGCAGAAACCCATACTTGAAAATGTGCTTTTCTTTTTTGTTTTCTAGGATGGGTTTGTGGAGTTCTTCCATGTAGAGGACCTAGAAGGTGGCATCAGAAATGTGCTGCTGGCTTTTGCAGGTGTTGCTGGAGTAGGAGCTGGTTTGGCATATCTAATAAGATAGCCTTGTAAGTGCAGTAGTTGACTTTTAACCAACCACCACCGCCAAAACCAGATAACATCTGTGACAGCAGCTGGACTCCAAGCTGTAACTTCCAAGAGTTGCCCTCTAGCAACCTAGCCAAGTGGCAGAAGATTATGGCTAACAAGAATAAATACGTGGGAAAAGAATCTCCCCTTGATTCAAGAGTCACTGTCTGAAAGAAGCAAAGTTCAGTTTCAGCAACAAGCAAACTGTTAGGGAGGCTATGGAGGAGGACTTATAGATTTAGTGAATATGGTAGGGTGGAAAGAATTTTCTTGTTGAGAACAGGAGAGTGGCCAGTAGCCAGGCAAGTCATAGAACTGATTAAATAATACCCGCCGAATTCATTAATATTCTGTAGTGTTAAGAGAAGCACTAACAATGCCAGTGAGCTGTGTAAAAGCTACAAGTAATAGAACTAAGACTGTAAGCCTCAGTACTGTACAAGGGAAGCTTTTTCTCTCTCTGATTAGCTTTCCCAGTATACTTCTTGAAATAGAAAGTCCAAGTGTGGCAGGACTTTTATACTTGTTATACATTGGCTTGGTTTCCATGATTCTTAGTTTGTTAGCCTAGTTTATGGCCAAGAATACTTGATGGAAGGCTCAGTAGTTATGAATATGGATATCCTCAGATTTTAAGACAACTTGTAAATGTATTTGTAAAAATTGTATATATTTTTACAAAAGTCTATTTGAAACAAAGGGAGAGAAGTCTTAAATTTACATTAGTTTTTTTCATGCCCTTTGAACTTTGCAACTTCTGTAATTAGGAATCTGTTCCTTAAAGCTTTTCTATGCTAAACTTTGTTCTGGTCAGTAGAGAGTGTATACAGAACGAATTGATGTGTAACTGTATGCAAACTGGTTGTAGTGGAACCAATCTGATTGATAAACTATGCAGATTTTAATTTTCCTATCTGATTTTGGTAAGTATTCCTTAGATGGGTTTTTCTTTGAAGTCCTGGGATTGAGAGGTTGATAAATGGAAATTAATCTTTTCACTTAGTTATATGCAGGTTTTCAATAATTAGGTCTAAGTGGAGTTTTAAGGTTACTGATCACTTAACAAATAATGGGCTCTGATTGGGCAATACTCATTTGAGTTCCTTCCATTTGACCTAATTTGGTGAAATTTAAACTGAATTGACGAGCTCATCTTTAAAGCTTCTACTAGAAGATTTTCAGCTTTTCCGAATGGAACTCATTAGCTGTGTGCATATAAAAAGATCACATCAGGTGGATGGAGAGACATTTGATTCCTTATTCGCTTAATAAATTATAAAATGATGGCTTGGAAATGCAGGCTAGTCTAACCATGGTGCTATTATTAGGCTTGCTTGTTATACACAGGTCTAAGCCTAATATTTCAATAAAACAAATACTTATTGTTTTGTTTCTATTAATGATTTCTAAACTTTGTTTCAGATTTTTGCTTTGGCATCTTTGGATTTCAGGCTTGATGTTCTTTGAGACTTACCTTTTATTTCCTGTCCTTCCTTGAAATAGCTGCTTGTTCTGCTCCCTCTGCAAATATTTATACATCTTTCCCCTGCCATCCCTGAACTCTTCCTAGCCCTTTTAGATTTTGTCACTGTGAAACCCCTACTGGGAACCTGAGTGACCCTCCCTCCCCACCAAGAGTCCACAGACCTCTCATCTTTCATGAACTTTATCCTGTTGGGAATTGGTAATACCATGGGTGCTGTGACACTACAGTCATTGAGGGGTGGGAGGAAGTCCCTTTTCCTTGGACTGGTTATCCTGTCTTTGGGGGAATTGTGTCAAAATTCCCCTCAGGAATTTTTAGAGGAGGGAACATCTTATGAGGCTTTCTCTAAAGTTTCCTTTGTATTTGAGTATGCTCACTTAAATTTACATGAAAGAGGTGAGCTGTGTAACCTCAGAGTTTAAAAGCTACTGATAAACTGAAGAAAGTGTCTCTGTTGGAACTAGGGGCATTTGAAGGCTTCAGCCTCAGAACATGACCTTTAGTCTGTGGACTCCATTTAAAAATAGGCATGAATAAGATGACTAAGAATGTAATGGGGAAGAATTGCCCTGCCTGCCCATGTCAGAGCCATAAGGTCATCTTTGCTAGAGCTATTTTTGCCTATGTATTTATCGTTCTTGATCATAAGCCACTTATTTATATCATGTATCTCTAAGGACCTAAAAGCACTTTATGTAGATTTTAATCTTAAGATCTGGTTACGGTAACTAAAAAGCCTGTCTCCCAAATATAGTGGAAACAAGCGCATAGATGTGAATTGGCTTTTAGGGGCCTCACTTCCCAGTTAATTCGATGTGACTGGAAATACAAATAAGGATCTTAGTTGATAGTTTGGGCTTGGGGCAGTGAGGGTTTAGGGCACCCCAAGTGGTTTGAGAAAGGTGAGTTTAGGGCACCCCAAGTGGTTTGAGTGGTGAGTTTATAGGGAGAAGGGGCCAGGTGGTCTAAGTGCTGACTGGCTACAAAGTTGAGGCAAATCCTCCAAAAGGGAAAGGGACGGGCTGCTTAGAAGGATGGCGCTCTCAGCGACTTCTGTTTGACTTCTGTTTGTCTTACGCTTCTCTCAGGGAAAAACATTCAGTACTCTAGTGTTCGTGTACATTCTGTTGGGGTCAACACCTTGGTTCTGGTTAAACAGCTAGTGCTTCTGACAGCTGGGCCAGGAACGGTTAGGACCAACTACAAGTTAATATTGGTTGTAAAATGTAGTGTGTTTTCCTAAGTTCCTGTTTTTCCTGAGAAAATAAATCTTATTCAAATACAAGGTGTGTAATATGGGTCTTTTCTTATCGACGCCTCTTAGGCAAGCTTTTTAGAGAAGTCAGCTGAGCAAATACTTGTAGGTGAATTCAAAGCAAAAGTCCCACAAGGCTGATTTGCCTTAGAGCAAAAGACAGTTCCTTTCTTCTATTCAAATTAGAGGTGTTGGGTTTTTAATGAAATATGTTACTGCTGTACTTGGAGGAGTTCCTAAACCAAATTTTAATAGAAAAAAGTCAAAATCTTAGTCTTGATTTTTGAATCACCAAATGCTGGTATGATTTTTTTTTCTTTTTTGAGTCAGAGACTCACTCTGTTGCACAGGCTAGAGTGCAGTGGTACAACCTCACTGCAGCCGCAGCCTCAGCCTCCCAGGTAGGTGGGATTACAGATGCCTGCCACCACGCCTGGTTAATTTTTGTATATTTAGTAGAGACTGGGTTTCACCAGTGTTAGCCAGGCTGGTCTGAAACTCCTGACCTCAGGTGATCACCTGCCTCAGCTTCCCAAAGTGGTAGGACTATAGGCGTAAGCCACTGCGCCCAGTCTTGATTTTGAGCTAAGAGGGGAGGGTACTGTACAGCAGTTACTGTATCATCTGCATACCTCTTAACCTTTTGAGATGGAGCAGCTAGAATAACATCTAAAGAGTTTTGATGAAGTTCCTGGCACTTGTTAAGTACTTTTCCCCTTCCATTTTTCCAAAAGGGAAGTGAAAAGAAGCAAGTCAATTTCAAAAACCCTATCCTGCCTTTATTTTCAGCTACCTTTGAAAGGGAGCCGAATCACCATGGAAATGTAAATATGTGAGGTTTGCATATTTGGTTTTATGTCCTGAGCACCAGACATCAAACAGGATTCTGTGCCTTCAGTTGCATTTCCATTTCAAAGGCCGGCGTGGTGGCTCAAGCCTAGAATCCCACCACTCTGGGAGGCCCAGGCGGGCAGATCACTAGGTCAAGAGATCTGAGACCATCCTGGTCAACATGGTGAAACCTTGTCTCTACAAAACTTAACTGGGGGTGGTGGCTCACGCCTGTAATCCCAGCTACTTGGGAGGCTGCGATGGGAGAATCGCTGGAACGCAGGAGGCATGGGGTTGCAGTAGGCCAAGATTGCCCCACTGCACTCCAGCCTGGTGACGGCTGTGTAAGTGCATTCCCAAGCCCAAATCTTGTCCTGAGTTAAGTCAGTGCTATTGCTCCCATTGATGTGCTGTGATCCTTTGCTCAGCACCTGAAAAGCTTGAATTTAGTAGTAACTGGGTAACCTTAATCACTAGAGTCAGAATAATCAACACTTCCCTTTATTCGACACAACCAAACTTTCTCAGTTCCTGTTTTGTGTGTAGGCCAGATCTTGCTTCATACTGTTTTCTTTCACAAAATTTTTCTTTAAAACAGTTGTGACAGCTGAAGGTTTTTTGCAAAATTAAAGTGAAATAACTTGTACAACTGCTAAGGAGCGTGGCTCCAGCCAGATGCCCAAAGCACTGACACTTAATTCCTGGAGTTCAGATGATCAGTTGAGTGTCTGTTGTAGTTTTTTGCTTCACTTTTTCGATCATTATGGAACTTTGTTTCTAGAACGCTCCCACTCTTCAAAGGCTTCTCCATTTCGAATTTGAAAACTTAATTCCCTCCCTCTTAGTTTCAAAGTTGTTACAGTGTTATCTTAGCTATGTGAAGTATGTGGAAAGTTGGGGGTTGTAGATTTTTCTCCAGGCGGATTATGAAACACCTCTCAGGCCTGGCACAGTGGCTTTCGACTGCAGTCCCAGCACTTTGGAAGGCTGAGGCAGCCGGATTGCCTAAGGTCAAGAGTTCCAGACCAGCCTAGCCGACATGGTGAAACCCCATCTCTACTAAATATACAAAAAAAGTTATCCAGGCGTGGTGGCGAGCGCCTGTAGTCTCAGCTATTCAGGAGGCTGAGGCAGGAAAATCCCTTGAACCCGGGAGGCAGAGGTTGCAGTGAGCCAAGACCACGTCACTGCACTCCAGCCTGGGCAACAGAGTGAGTCTGCATCTCAAAAAAATGAAAAATAGGCCAGGTACAGTGGCTCACACCTGTAATCCCAGCACTTTGGGAGGCCAAGGCAAGCAGATCACCAGGTCAAGAGATGGAGACCACCCTGGCCAACATGGTGAATCCCCGTCTCTACTAAAAATACCAAAAAAAAAAAAAAAAAATTGGTGTGGTGGCTCACATCTGCAATCACAGCACATTGTGAGCCCGAGGTGGTGGAACATGAGGTCAGGAGTTTGAGACCAGCCTGGCCAACATTGTGAAACCCCATCTCTACTAAAAATATAAAAATCAGCTGGGCATGGTGGCACGTGCCTGTGATCCCAGCTACTCGGGAGGCTGAGGCAGGAGAATCGCTTTAACCCAGGAGGCAGAGGTTGTGGTGAGCCAAGATCGTGCTAATGCACTTTAGCCTGGGCATATATGTGGCAGGCTTTTGTTCCCATACCATACTTGGTTGCTAATTTGCAGTTCCTTAATTGACCTGCATAGAATAATAGTTCTTGACCACTGGGAAATGAGCAATTTAGCATTGCAATGAGCTGGGATTTTTTTTTTTTTTTTTTTAAGAGATGGGGTCTTCCTCTGTCGCTCAGGCTGGAGTGCAGTGGCACTATCTCAGCTCACCGCAGCCTTGAACTCCCGTGCTTAAGGAATCCTCCCTCCTCAACCTCCAGAGTAGCTGGGACTACAGGTACCCACACCCAGTGTTTTGTTTTGTTTGTAAAGGGTCTTGCTCTGTTGCCTAGGCCTGCCTATTTAGCAGGAGCTCTAGGTAGCCAGATGTTGAGAGTCTCTTCATTTTCCTATTACATGACAGTAGACTGCTTATTATGTATCATGAGCTGTTAGATGCTGGAATTATAAAGAGATAATTCTTCCCCTTAAGAAACTCAAGAAAGATTGCGGAATAGTTCAAAAGAAACATGACAACTAACTACACGTTATATGTTAGTACTGTATCAATGTTAAATTTCTTGAGTATTATACTGTGGTTATGTAAGACAATGTCCTTGTTTTTAGGAGATGCGTGCTAAAGAATTTATGCATAACAAATCCAATAAATGAGAAGGCAGATGTTGCTAGATGGTAAAGTTTACGATCTAGCTGGGCACAGTGGCTCATGCTGTAATTCCAGCATTTTGGGAGGCCAAGGCAAGCAGATTGCTTAAACCCAAGAATTTGAGACCACCCAGGCAACATGGTGAAACCTTGTCTCTACTAAACATAAAAAAAACTAGTGGCCGTGTGTGGTTGCTCAGACCTGTAATCCCAGCACTTNAGTAGCTGGGATTACAGGCACGCACCACCATGCCCAGCTAATTTTTTTTTGTGTGTGTATTTTTAGTAGAGACGGGGTTTCACCATATTGACCGGGATGGTCTCGATCTCTTGACCTCGTGATCCACCCGCCTCGGCCTCCCAAAGTGCTGGGATTACAGGCTTGAGCCACCGCGCCCGGCCATAATATTTTTAAAAATTTAATTTTACATATATAGAACAGGTCTCACTATCATGTCCAGGATGGTCTTCAACTCCTGATCTCAGGTGATCCCCCTGCCTTGGCCTCTCAAAGTGCTGAGATTACAGGTGTGAGCCACATGTCTAGCCAAAAATACGTTTTTAAAAGTGTTTTTGGGCCGGGCACGGTGGCTTATGCCTGTAATCCCAGCACTTTGGAAGGCCGAGGCAGGTGGCTCACCTGAGATCACAAGTTCAAGACCAGCCTGACTAACATGGTGAAACCCTATCTCTACTAAAAATACAGAAAAAGTTAGCCAGGGGTGGTAGTAGGCGCCTATAATCCCAGCTACTCGGGAGACTGAGTCAGGAGAATCACTTGAACCCGGGAGGCAGAGTTTGCAGTGAGCTAAGATCATGCCATTGTACTCCGGCCTGGGCAACAAAAGCGAAACTCCATCTAAAAAAAAAGTGAAGAGACTAGATCTCAAGCCTTAATTGTCTCCCCTATAAACAGAGCTAACAATACTGTCAGCTATCTTATTGCTATGAAGATTTAAAGAGAGACTATTGATGTAAGTGCTTTTACCTGAAAGCACTATACATATAGAAGGAGTTTCAGGACTGTCCCTTAAGAATTTATTAACCAATTCTCCTAGGGAATTTTAAATTCCCTAGGAGAAGCAATTAAGAACCAGGCATCAGGCCGGGTGCGGTGGCTCACACCTGTAATCCCAGCACTTTGGGAGGCCAAGGTGAGTGGATCATGAGGTCAAGAGATCGAGACCATCCTGGATAACATGGTGAAACCCTGTCTCTACTAAAAATACAAAAATTAGCTGGGCGTGGTGATGCATGCCTGTAATCCCAGCTACTCAGGAGGCTGAGGCAGGAGAACAGCTTGAGCCCGGGAGTCAGAGGTTGCAGTGAGCCGAGATCAAACCACTGCACTCCAGCCTGGGCAACAAACCAAGACTCCACCTCAATAAAAAAAAATTGTTGGCCAGGCACAGTTGCACGCACTTGTAGTCCCAGGTATTCTGAAGGCTAAGGCAGAAGAATCACTTGAGCCCTTAAGTTCAGGGCTGTCATGCACTAAGTTGATCTGGTGTTTATGCTAAGTTCTGTATCAATATGGTGACTTCCTGGGAGTGGGGGACCACCAGGTTGCCTAAGGAGGGGTGACCCTAAGTTGGAAACAGAGCTGGTCAAAATTGTGCAGGCCAGGTGTGGTGGCTCACACCTGTAATCCCAGCACTTTGGGAGGCTGAGGCGGGCGGATCACCTGAGGTCAGGAGTTCGAGACCAGCCTGACCAATATGGTGAAACCCCGTCTTAAAAAAAAAATTCCTGTGCAATTCCAGTAGTAGAATTGCACCCCTCTGAATAGCCACTGCCCCTCCAGCATGGGCAACATAGTAAGACCTTGCCTCTTAAGATAAAAACTGGAAAACACTGGTAGGAAAGAAAGGCCCTTTGGTTTAAATAAGTCTGAATTAGGCATAAATTACACAC